GTGTGTGTTTGTGTGTGTGTGTGTGTGTATGTGTGTGTGTGTGTGTGTGTTGTATAAATTAAAATTGCGACTTGTACAGTTGATCATGTTGACAGTGTATTCGGCAGCAGATCCTCAGAGAATCGTGCTGGGACTCACACTGCTGCTTGGATTAATAAATCTTACCAGTAGTAAGTCATCATCATCATCATCATCATCATCATCATCATCATCATCATCATCATCATCAAAGCTGTCTTTGTGTAAATGCTTACTAATAGCAACCGATATAATAATATTTTGTATACTTTATTCCATTTCCATTTCCTTGTGGCTATAGTCAGGGTCATAGCAGTGAAACTGACAATCAAATTTTTCATGTCAGTGTATCGAAATCATATTAAAAGCCTTCTAAATGATTATATTATAGGTTCACTTGCGACACAAAAAAAAATAATTTCTAATTCAAATTATCCAATTGCGAACATGATCAAACTTAAATCTGTCTGAATTGAGAGGGGGGAAAAGGGGGGGGGGTATTTGAAACAGTAGTTAGAGTTTTAGAAAAGAAAGCAGGACGGGAAGAAGGTGGGACTGAGGGGAGGATAACTCGAAAGGTATACATAAAATAATATAGTGTTTCAGTGTCCGAGTTGTGCTGTTCAACGATTATTTATTAGAGTGTTGCTTGTTTGTTACTGTCAAAGTGAATGCGGAAAAGAGGGAAAAGGGAAGGGAGAAGTTGGGAGGGGCAGGGCTGGTTGGTGGTGTGCGATCGTAAAATGTTCTCTTTCTAAAGTGGTACCTTAATACTATTAACCTATCTCACCCCCACCCTCTGTGGCTCCATCTTCCTCTACCATTCTCTGCCTTTCTGTCTCTCTCCCCTTATCCATCTTCTCTCCCTCCCTCCCTCCCTCCCCCCCTCTCTCTCTCTCTCTCTTCTGTGTGTCACTGTCCCTCTCTCACCCTGTCCTCTAACCCCCCCCTCTCTCTCTATTTCTCTTTCCCTCTCTTTCTCTTTCTCTGTCTCTTTCTCTAACTCTCTCTCTCTCTCTCTCTCTCTCTC